TTGCTTTAGGCCAGCAGGTGGAGGCTGGAGTGGCTGTGTGTCACTGCACTCCAGCCTAGGTGTCAGAATGAGGCTCTGACTCCAAAAAAAAAAATTTAGGCCAGGTTCGGTGGCTCAGCCTGTCATCCTAGCACTTTGGGAGGCTGAGGCGAGTGGACTGCCTGAGCCCATGGGTTCGAGACCAGCCCGGGCAACTTGGCGAGACCTCGTCTCTACAACAACAACAAAAAAAACATTAGCTGGGCGTGGTGGGGTGCACCTGTAGTTCCAGCTACTCGGAAGGCTGAGGCGGAAGGATCACCAGAGCCCAGCAGGTCGATACTGCAGTGGCCCTGAGCGTACCACTGCACTCCAGCCTGGGTGGCAGAGTGAGATCCCAACTCAAAAAATACAACATGCTGTATTCATGTCAACCAAAGAATAGAATTCTCCCTCCTAGCTTTAGGGTATCACTGTCAAATGAGAACGCAGATGCCCAGTGCACAACTTGTGTACACACACCACGAATGACTAAGTCCAGCTCATGAACAGAATGTTCCACGGGGGTCGCTGTGATGGCAAAGGGAGCGCTGACGTGGAACCTTCTTAACATTCTCCGGCAACACGGACTGCGGCCTGCAGCCCCCGACGTACCCATGATCCTGCGGATGGGGTCGTCGGGGCTGGCCACGGCGCGGATCTGGCCCTTGAGCGCTGCCTCCTTGTCGCTGGGGAGAGGGCATGCGCCGCTCAGCACCAGGCAGCTGCGCACCTCCAGACAGACCTTCTCCCCAACGGCAGCCAAGGCCTCCTCCAGGCGGAAGGAGCTGGAAGGAAGGGAAGGGGAAGACTGGAGGGACGTCCCGGCCCAGCCCCCACCCGCCAGCTGCCCCAGTGGCCTCGACTATACAGGCCTGGCCGGGAAGGACGCGCCTTCCCTCCCCTGAGGAGGGTTCAACTCCTGCCTGGTCCGTGGTACTTCCTGGCATCCTGTGGTGGCAGAAGCCTGGGACCCACCGAGACCATGCTGCCACCCTCGGAGGGACACAAGAAACCCGGCCCAGGTCCTGCCCCGAACGTGCAGCCCACGGCCTCCACCCCACCCATGCTGACCCCAGCCACCACCCAGACATGGCTGCCCCCGGCTCCCACCCCAGACATGGCTGACCCTGGCCCCCACCTTGTCCATGGCTGACTCCAACTCCCCACTCAAACCCCCACCCCATCCATGACTGACCCCGGCCCCCACCCTTCCACGGCTGACCCCGGCCCCCGCCATGGCTGATCCTGGCCGTAAGTCTCACCTCCACAATCTTTCTCCCATCTACCATGCCCCCCCAGCCAAACGCAAGCTGCAGAGCACGAGTCTAACTATGGTCCCTCTTGCTGGAGACCCTTCGACTCTCGCTGCCGCCCTGAAGACAACCACCTGACTCCTCAGCGTGCCTCTGGGGCTCTGTTGGCCAGGCACAAGCAGCCCAAGCCACATCCCAAGCTTGGCTAACCCTGCAGTGACGCTGACCCAGGCCCTGCGACCCTGCATCAACTCTGCCCGGCCTGCTGGGGGGCAAGGCAGGGAGCAAGGTTTCTCCCGGCCCCTCAGGAGTGGCCCAGATGGGACCTGGGGTGACTCGGGGCTGCCTCCCAGCCCCCGCCGTGCAAGGCCCGCCGGGGTGCCCAGCCACTCACGGCAGGTGCATGTCAGTGAGCAGAATCTTCACCGTCGCCTTGAGCTTCTCGGCAAGGTCGGCACGGCTGGACGCCCCCGGGACGGCGCCGAACGTGACCAGCAGCACACCCCCCAGCACGGCCAGCTGTCCCAGCTGCAGCTGCAGCTCCTGGAAGCGGGCCTGGTCCATCAGCACAGTCTGCAGACGAGAGGGTGGGCCGAGGTGTGGCTGGGTGGGCCAGCGGGCGCGGCCACAGACCCACGCAGGCCCTGCCGTCCCCCAGCCCCCTCGAGCATGCGGGGCTGTGAGGGAGTCGGGGGTGACCCTCCTTCCCCTCAGAGCCCCTTTTTCCCGAGGCGGCACCCAGCGACCGCTGAGGACACAGGCAGCCCGGTGTCCCGGGCCCCGCCCACCATGACCTCAGACAAGCGTCTCCAGCTTGCGGGGCCACGTGGCGTGGGGTCTCTATGTGCAGAGTGTCCTAAAGATGGAAACAGCAGGCCACAGAGGCGGCGGAGCCAGCATCGTCCCGGAGTGACCTCGCCAGACAGGAGGAGCCAGTGGACCCGCTCCCCCAGGTTTGCCCGGGACTGTCCTGGTTTTAAAACGGAAGTGCCCACGTCCTGGGAACTGCTCCCCCACCCCAGGCAGCCGAAGCCCCACACAGCCCGAGGGAGGCGAGTCCTGGGGAAGGGACCCCGCATTCCCCTCGGTCCCCTCAGCACCCGCAGCGAGGACACTCAGAGAGCTCGCAAGTGACCGAGAGAAACGGGATGCACAGAGAGGGCTGACCGTCACGCCCTGGCCGGAGCCGCCACCATTCAAGGCAGCCTGGGCCCCACCCTGCCAGAGCCCCTGGGGGTGAGGGAGGGGGGACCCAGCAGGCCCAGCCTCTGCAGGTCAAGAGGAGCTTGAGAGCCTGACCTGCCCTGCTGCGAGAAGCTGAGATGTGGCAAGTCAAGACAGGAGCCACCTGGGGTCGCAGCCCAGCATGCTTCTCGAGGAGAAACGACCTCTGAGTGCGAATCCTTTGCTGGCAAACCCCCACGCCCCAATGGGCTGTGCGGCGGCCTCTTCCCACCTCCCTGGACGGCCCCCAACAGCACACAGGGCTTGCGATGGGAGCAGAAAGTCTCTGTGGATCTTCCCAGAGCAGAGACCCGGCTCCAGGGAAAACCACCACCTTCCCGCAGCGAAGGCTTAGAGAACTTCCCTCTGGAGGGAACACGGCCCTCTTCAGAGAGCAACACTCCGCGCCCCGCCCACGCCCCGGAGACCCCTTCAGCACGAGGAGGTGGGGGGAGGGCCCTGCGGTCAGCAGAGGACAACCAGGGACACACAAGAGGGTGATGAGAAGCAGGGAGACCCGAGACTGGAGACGAGGGGCTCACGCGCCCTCCACCCAGGGGGCCCACACACCCACCGACTCTGCCCAGACTGCCTGGGGGCGCCGCTCTCGGCCAGCCCCTTGCAGAAGCATGGAGGCTAGAAGTCTGCGGGGGAAAACGGACAAAACTGGCGTCCGTCGACGAGGCGGGGACAGCAGCCACTGAGGCTTTGACACACGAGGACACGCAGGGCAGGGGCTCAGCCACGCACGCAGGGCCTCAGGCAGCCAGTGGGCCCCGACACACGCAGCCGCCCTCCGAGTGCTCGCCTGGGAGCCGCCCCGGGCCGGCAGCTCCGACCTCAGCAGGCACCCAGGTTGCGAACACAGGTCCCGCAGGACGTCGACGCCCCTGTCCACCGAAGCCCAGCTCACTCCAGCCGGAAGTGGACACAAGCCAGATGTTCGTCAATGACGAGCAAGAAAACAAACCGGCCTAGGCGTACAGCCTTGAAAAGGAAGGAAGTGCTGGCCCAGGCCACAGCGTAAGAGGCCAAGCCACACAGGCAGATGCAAGAGGACAAGTCCCGCACAGGCCCCGGACATGGCGTACTGGAGTCGCCAGCTCTGCAGGGACGCGAAGCAGAAGGGCGGCTGTCAGGGGCCGGGGGTCTGGCCCACGGGGAGTCGCTGCAGGTGGAGCGGTGGCGACGGCCACACAGTGTGGACGCACCGAATGCCAGCAACTTCTCCTCAGGAAAGGGTGAAGGGCGCATCTTATGTTGCGTACATTTTGTCACGATACAGAAAGGCTCCAAGTGCCAAAGAAGCCACAGCCTGGAAGAATATCACACTGGGGGAAAGAAGCCAGATGCCACCCGATTTCTCTCACGGAAGTGTCCAGGAACAGCCAGAAGCAGAAAGCAGGTGTGTGATTCTGGGGCTGGGGGAGGGGAAGGGCGGTGAAAGCCGCGGCACGGGGCTTCTGGGGGTGACTAGAACGTTCTAAGTTGAACAGCCACTGGGGCGTGCACTTTGAAGGGGGAATTCTGTCAGAACGATGCAACTCTGTCCTTTGGCGAGCTCCGTGGCACCGAAGCCTGAGCACACGGCCTACCTCGGGGAAGGGCCGCCGGCCATGGTCCCAGGCCAGGAGCTTCAGGTAGGCGCGGTTCTGCACGGCCACTGGGCTCGGCCGCCAGGTGTCCCCAGAGCCGGCGGCCCCCGCCCTGGCCGGCAGGGTGAGCTGGTACTGCTGACTCATGAGGTCATCGGCGGCCTCCTCCAGCCACTGGGTGACAAAGTCCAGGGAATCTACGGAAAGCAAAGCTGTGACGGTCACCGTGACGCAGGGAGGGTGTTTCCTGCAGTCTCGTTGGGGACGGCTGTCCCAGGGGTGTGGTGACATACAGAGCACGGAATCCAGTGATCCGATGGATGAGTCAGGCAAATCGTGGCCTGAATATCAGAGTCCCAGTGTAGACAGAGCACAGACCCCACCCAAGCTGCCAGGAAGACAGTGCAAGATGGTGAGGACATGGACCTGGTCTGGCCCCAACACGCAGGTGAGGACGTGGCCCCTGGCCCGGTCCTGGCGCCCAGGTAAGGACGTGGCCCTGGTCTGGCCCCAGGCCCCAGGGTGAGGAAGCAGCCCCTGGCCCGGCCCTGACACTCAGGGGAGAACATGCCACCTGGCCCGGTCCCAGCACACATCAGCTGCTAATGCAGAGACCAACAAAAGCACCCTAGAAGCGCAACCTGGTTTAGGATCCCAGCAGTCATCCGCTTTCCGGCAGGTGCATAAAAACGACTCTTCCTGATGTGAAAGCGCAGGCGTGTGCTGGAGGGAAGTGCAGTGAGCTCCCGCCAGGCCACAAGAGGCAGAGGGAGTCGACAGTCACTAGGGGCCTGCCATGTTTTAAAACAAAAAGCGGGCCAAACCATGACCCGCGCGTGGCCCCGGCAGCTAGTCACATGGCCCCACAAAGCCTTTTACCAACACGTGTCGTGTAGCATGTCTCTCCGCGACCCCACACGAGCTCCATTTTTGAAGTTCACAATCACGCCTCACGCATGACCTCACTTTTAGGCAACACTTACATGCGAGCAGCTGTTTTCGATCATAAAGCGCATGGAGAGCAAAATGCCAGCAAACGTTTCTGCCAAACACCCTGAGAACTCACTGAGAACTGTGACCGCTTCATCAAACCAGACGCCGATGGCTTCGTTTGACAAACACAAGGTCAAATTTCCCACTAGCTTCATATTGTTCTCATTGTTCTAAACTTTCTCTTTTCCTTTGGGTTGAATCAGAGTCTCACTCTGTCCCCCAGGCTGGAGTGCAGCGGCACGCTCATGGCCGCCACAGGCTTGCCCTGCTGAACTCAGGCGATCCTTCTGCCTCAGCCTTCCAAGCAGCTGGAACTACAAGTGTGCACCACCACACCCAGCTATTTTTTTGGTTTATTGCAGAGACGAGGTCTTGCCATGTTGCCCAAGCTGGTCTCGAACCTGTGGGCTCAGGCAATCTCGTCTCTGCCTCCCAAAGTGCTGGGATGACAGGTGTAAGCCACTGTGCCCGGTTTGTTTTTCTAAATTTTATAATTAAAAAAAATTTTAAGTAGACTTATTATGTACAGATACTAACTATGTAATTTATGTGCAGCCCAAGACAATTCCTCTTTACTCAACGAGGCCCAGGGAAGCCAAAAGGTTAGACACCCCTGCTTTAAGACATCAAACCCAAGAACATAATTTCCTTGAAACTGGAGTTTCCACGTTCCTCTTCATTTCTGCACTCCCATCTTGCTCACACATTGCTCACTCGCCGGCGGAGCTTTCTTCTCCATGCTCGGCAGCTGTAGGGGGTCCTGACATGCTGTGCGTTCTCGCACCAAATGTCAGTTTTGCCCTGCAAACAACATCATCATGCAACAAGCAACACACTGGGACGAGCCACGCCGACGGCAGCCAGGCACACAGACGTGACACCTACTCGGCTGGTGCACCAGAAGCTCCTGGAACTTCCTCCGCTCATACTCCACCGACTGCTGCATGAGGTGTGGCCGGATGCTGCTGACGGCGAAGTTCGCCATGTCCACCTTCATGAGGTCCAGCACGGAGAAGATGGCCCTGGGGGAGAGAGGCCAGGTCCAGAGCCATGCACGTGCAGCTACGCCATGCCCAAGGGGAGGCGGGTTTCTGGGTTTGGTTCTGATTGGGAGGACACCCATGTTCCCAAGAGGCATTTAAGGGTTGAACGTCATGTCTGCCACGAACTCTCAGATGGTTCGGAGGAAAACACACAGTCATACACACATTTATAAAAAAGGATAAAGCCGATGCACAAGACACTAAAAATGAGTGGGTCCACATGAAACACAGGAGTGTTGACTGCCCTGCTTTTGCAGCTTTTTTAGGTTTGGAATTTTCCAAAATGAAATGTCAAGGGAACTTGACAGATAAAAATATATATAAGCCGGGCTCGGGGGCTTAGCCTGTAATCCTGCGCTTTGGGAGGCTGAGGTGAGTGGATTGCCTGAGCCGGTGGGTTCGAGACCTGCCTGGGCAACTTGGCGAGACCTCATCTCTATAATAAATCAAAAAATCAGCTGGGCATGGTAGTGCGTGCCTGTAGTTCCAG